CCCCACCTCTCTGCCAGCCGTAATTCTAAATATTTAAGTGAGACTAAGTGTCTGCTATATTTTAAAATAAACTCACTTGAAAGGCCATTATGTCCTTGTTTCACACCATGATCTGCTTATTTATTTCATTACATTATTACTTCAATCATAAACTAAGAAGAGATCAGTCTTCACTGGCTAGCGTTCAATTAGGCAAGAAAGCTGAGAATTTACTTTGTAAAAAGGTCTTATCATTACTCTTCGCATAGTCACCGCTTCCCTAGAAATTACAACGTAGTGTCTGGCTCGTGGAGAACAAGCACATCGCACACAAACGTCTAAATGCCAGAATGCATCAGCGGCCTAACTCGCTTTGAGGGATTACTGAAAACTGAGGAGACGGGGCTGACACACCTGTAACGGCTGCACCCCTACACAACATCCTGGTTGTTTAGACTGGAACTTTATACAAATAGCATCATACGATTCACATTCAGTACAGATGAAAGCTCTACATCTGTGCTACTTAATAAAGGAGAGAGGAGAAAAGGACAAGACGGCAAGGAGGACCCGAGCTTATTAGAAAACGGCTATAAAATAAAGAATCGGCGTGGAGAAAACCCCAGTTACAGCTCAAGAGCATTACAGTCTGACAGAGTAAGTCTTTAGTAAATCCTCGGCAGAAAATCTAATAGAATTAATATAATGTACTGTGGACTTTAACTAAAGATTTTTGGCTAAAATAAAACACTGTTACAAAGGTCACATTAACAACCGTTAAAATGTATCTTTTAAACAAGATTTTTCTCTTCCTTTGCAATTATATTGATTAGTAGGTTTCACGTTAATTATCTCCTACACAATTATTTAAACACATATCTACTCAAAGGGGGTCGAGGGTAATCGATACCGAAAGATAAGCATGCCCTTCTGGGGCACAGCCCACACTTGGATCATCAGTGCTTTGGACCCCAGGGAGATGATGTGGAGACAGCCTTCTTCGACCAGCCTGTCACCAGGGTCTGTGCGCTCTGCACCTTCCGGCCTGTCGCTCTCTAAGAGAGAAACAGAAGTTAGAATGATCAGTACAACAGCTTATAAAAACTAAGCGAAACAAGGACCAGCAAATGGCGTAATGGCTAGGTCGCTGGACTCCCATGTAGTTGACCGTGGTTCGAGTCCTGGACCTGGTGGCTTAAACTCACGCCGGGCACGTGTGTGTGCGTGCCCAAGATCCCAAGAGGAGAATGGAGGAGAAGGGACTGTGGCGTGGCCATGTCCCCCTGGGGCTTTCTGTCTCTCTGTCTCTCTGTCTTTCTGGCAAGCACACGTGTCCTATAGCAAAAACCTCTCTCAAAAAAAAAAAAAAAGCAAAAAAAAAAAAATAAAAAACTAAGTGAAACAGTGACTTTAAGACTACAAAGCACAGCTGTTTGTTTGCAGTAGATTATGCACCCAGAACGTCTGAACCTAACCAGCTTTAAACAGTATTTCCAATGTACAGACGTTAACTCCAAAAAGGCAGAGGTAAAGAGGGCATCCAAGTGATTTAAAGCTCTGGTTTTATGTAGGGTGTGTGTACGCATCCCCCAAACCCCGAGAGGAGGAGGAGATGGAGAGGGACCGTGGCACCCACCGTGGGTGCTCTCACCCTCCTTCCCTCTCCCTCCCTCCTCTCATGGAGAGGGACTGTGGCATGACCGTGTCCCACCATGGGTGCTCTCACCCTCCTTCCCTCTCCCTCCCTCCTCTCATGGAGAGGTGCTCTTACCCTCCTTCCCTCTTCCTCCCTCCCTCTCTGGTGAGTGCACACACCCTTTGGAAAATTTTTTTAAATTGAAAAAAACAGGGGCCAGCAGGTGGCACGGTGGGTAAGACACTGGAATCCCACATGGACGACTGCTTCGAGTGCTGGGTCCAGTGGCTTGAAAGACACATGTGTGTGTGCCCACCTCAAATCCTAGGAGTGCGGGGAGCGAAGACTGCCGCGTGGCCGTCCCCGGGTAACTCTCACTTTCTCATCTGTCTCTCTAGTGAGAGCATGTGCCCTATGGCAATAAACCTTTTAAAGAAATAAATAAGTAAAAGACTTAAAATCAAAGCTATTAAGTGTTTTAAGCTAAATAACAGCTGAGGACAGCCGTGGGCAGACTACCGCTGTGACGGCTGTGACTCATTACTGCGCGTCTCTGACCAGGTGCCGAGGCCAGCGACCTCACTGGCCCCGCTGTGGGGAGCACACGCCACCCCGGGTGCCTCCCATGACCACCATTCTGCTGTCGTCAACAGCGTGAGCTCCCAAACTGGACCACATTAGAGAGCCTTGCAGGAGAATGAGTGTTGAACATTCCATAGCGCAGTTTAGAGCCCCGGGTGAACGGTACTGGCTATACCTGCTAAGTACCCCGGACCTCTGCGTTAGTGCTTCCCGAAGGCTGGCCAAGGTAAACGCTTACAGGCTTTCAGCTGTCTGGTTATTCATCTCAACCTTCTTTTTAAAAATATTGATTTAATTCTATTTGTTATTATTACTTGTTAATCTGACCAGAGAGAGACAGAGACAGAGAGAAAGGGAAAGTGAGAAAGCCAGCCACCAGGTCCGGGACTCAAATTGTGGTTGACCATGTTGGAATCCAGCCTCTTTAACCACCACGCCAACTGCTGGCCTCTCCAACTTCCCTTTCTTAGCCATTTAAAACCCAGCACTACCTGAAGTGTCCCTGAGCTGCCATGTCACGCTAATGCGTGTGGCTGTACGCGAGGCTCTGTCCGTGCACCCAGACACGAGGCTCACGCTCAGAGGCGCACACTCGGGGAGACGCGCACTGCCGGTCGTCAGGCTGTACAGACAGCAGGTGCCCTTCCGCAACGAGCGAGCTCACCACTAGCTTTTAAGAATGTCCCCCAGCAATAACCGCAGATCTAAGAGAGAAGTTCAAGTTATGAGTCATCTTGAAGGCTACTGTCAGAAATAGAATGTACAGAGAACTCCTATCTGATGTGGCATTTGAAAATGTTTCCATACCAAACCTGAATTTGTGCAAAGAACATAATGAAAGCTAGCATGTACCCAGGCACTATAAAGTAGAAATATTACGATTTTTTAAAAAAGGTTTTTGTCATAAGGCATATGTACTTACTGGAGAGGGACAGAAAAAGACAGTAACCAGGAAAGTGAGAAATCCCCCCGGGGTGGATGGCCACTCTGAAATCCCTTCTCCTACATCCCCTCCTAGGGTCTTACACACATACGCACACACACCTAGCATGGTTTTCAAGCTGCCAGGTCCAGGGCTCGAACTGTGGTCACCCGTGTGGGAGTCCAGCACCTTAACCATCATGGTACTTGCTGGTCCCATTACAAATATTTTTTAACTTAATGCTCATAACAATCTTATGGTATAGATATAATGGAGTGACAACTGAGGCACTGCAAGATTGAATAACTTGCTCTATGGCACACAGGTTCGTGGCAAAAGTTTTATCATTGCAATGTTTTCTTCAACTTAATTCATAAAATTTTATGTCTACTTTTTTTCCTTTTAAAGGTTTTTGCCATAGGGTATATGCACTCCCGGAGAGAGACAGAAAGAGGCAAAGAGAGAAATCACCCCGGGGGAATGGCCACACCACAATCTCTTCCTCCCCATTCCCCTCCTGGGATTTTGGGCACGCACGCACACTAGCTCTGAGACGCGAGCTGTGGTTGGCCCCATGGAGTCCAGCGCCTGAACAACCACACTGCACGCTGTTCTTTCTAGTGTCTTTGCAAAACCATCTTTCTAAACCATGTTTTCAAATACATCATTAACTAATAGAAAACATCCAGGCCGACTCCCAGTACCCAGGCCACCCCTCACTCCCCTGTGGGGACCATCTGCTGTGGGGCTCCCCGCCAACCGGAGAGGGCAGGCCCCCAGCACTCACGTTTGAGCTGGGAGTGGACTCGGGCAGGTTTGAGTCCAGCCTGTCTGGGCTGGCCATGACCACGTCCTCACCTACACACACAGACACCCAGTGCTGGCTCCTGACTGACTGCTAAGATTCAGCCTGTGTCCGGCCAGATCAGCGAAGGACCGAGACACAGGTAGACCCGGGGCCGTGGGCCGGCCGCCTGCCCACACTGCGCATAGGAGCCTCCCGCCAAGGCTTAGGCAGCAAAGTCCAGTCCAGAAGAGAAGACCTGTGACCGCCTGTGACAGTGCCACCCGCCTGCCGAGCCCGGAGCACTTGGCTCTGTGCGGGCCGCCCAGGGCATCAGGGAGAGCGCGGCCGCGTGCTGGGCCTTTCCCTGCCCACACAGGCTGGCTCCTATGGAGCCTCAAGTCTTGCAGTGAAGCTCCCGTGAGGGCAAGACTTCAGGGCTGGAGGCTAGTGGGGTCTGCATCTGTGGGTACACCACAGCTGTCCTCTCACCGGCCACCCGGCGCCTCTGGACTCTAAGAACTAGCCGCCCACTTCCCCACCCGCCACCAGAACTGGATCTTAGTGAGCATTCGCTCCCTGCTCGAGCCCTGCCAGGGACAAAGTGCTGCTTCATAGCCACGAAACAGCATGTGTTCGGTTCCAGGAAGGAGGGGAACTTTGGAGAATGGTTGACAGACCTGGGCACCTGTGACTGGGAGGAGGAGAGGGCCGTGGAGGTAAGACACAGCATGCGGTGGAGAGAGGTGACGTGGGCTCAGCAGCAGGGTTGAGAAAACAGCAGCAGACAGGCTGTGGCTCAGGGCTCTGCCGTCTCCTTTAACACTGGGGACCACCCGGGTGCTGCCCTCTTCTCCAACGCTGGGGACCACCTGGGTGCTGCCCTCTTCTCCAACACTGGGGACCACCCGGGTGCTGCCCTCTCCTTCTCCAACGCTGGGGAC